ATAGTATTGGTTGTAAACACAAATATCTTAAGTGAAAAAACAAAATGCACCAAAACCGGGACTTAAAGAATGAGGTGTGACATCCGTCCTTCGGATGAAAAGTTAAACTGAGGTCCCATCTGCTTGTTTCAGGTTGATGTGAAAGATTCCATGACACAATTAAAAAAGAAAGGGGATTTTCTCCCATTATCCTGGCAAACAATTCCCCAGATAAAATTGGTCATTCACCTCATGGACATGGCTGTGCACAAATTTGCCTGCAAATACAGTCACTACACTTTCCAGTAAAATCCTGTGAAGCACTTTGATACATTTTGATGTGATAAGGTGATATGCCAAAGGCAAGGGTTACTATTATTATTATTGGGGCTGATTGAGATTATAAAAAGTTAAAAGGGAAGATACTTCTTGATCTAATTAGATTCTGTTTAGTTTGACAACTTGTGCAGAAATCTAGTTGTTTCAGATAACCTACATGAGTTATCTGTGAACTCTATGTCACAGGGCTTGTTTAAGAAACAACCACTTGACGAGCTTGCTGAAGAAAAATGCCATAATACAACATGAGTGCTGATATTGACAAAATCTAGATACTATCAGCTTTGGTACTGCTAGTAGTTAAGGCATTTAGCTACTTTTTTAAACAATTATTTACTTCAGTCAGTTTACAAGCTGAGAAGAGGATGGAGGAGCTTGATGTATATTAAATCTGTATGTGATTATGCTAACATAGAAAAAATAATGCAATCCAGCATATGGCATGACGGCAATATTGTTATTACTAAATTCAGATTTCATCAGATTCCTGGAAGCCAGATTCTTCTCAGAATTACTGTACCTAACATCACAAGAAATCAGAATATGATGTTTCTATAAATTCTAACAATTTGATTATTGGAAATGTGGTCTGCTGTTCCAACACAATTATCTTTCCAAAATCAAATTGTGCCCAATGGCAATTATAATACTATCAAAATAACACTGACTCGGTTGCTAATATTAGTGCTCTAAAAATACAATACACAAACAAACTGCATTTTTAGTTTATTTCTCCCTCCAATGATAGCAGCTCCTCGATTGTGCAATATTAACTACTTGAGGATTAAAGACTTCCAGGTTTTAACATTTGCATCTCTCTGATATGAGGATTTAATAAGATTACTCTAGAAATCACTGAAGACGAGTGTTAGTTCCAAATTCAAGAAGTGTACTGTTTACATTTTTGTACATTTGTACTTGTAGTTAGAACAAGTGTGGAATATATGTAGTTGTAGAATTTGTTCAATTTCGGGGACTGGGACTTAGTTTCTTACTCACCTTTCATTGCCTCTTTCCCAACTATATTTTTATATTTTTTAATTTATCTTATTTTATTTATGTATTTGTGATCTTATAATAAAAATAATGCTTGCACTTGATATAGCACCTTTCACATCAGGAGGACATCTTAAATCACTTTACAGAATGTACTGTAAAGTGTAGTGACTCTGTATTCTGCATGGTAAACTTATTGGTAATCTGTTTAAAACATATAGCTTTACAAATAACAGTGATAGACCCGCCTCTTGTTCCATATTTGGAAGCTCAGGAAATGCTCCTGAAAGCAGAATGAAGTGTGCGTTGTGTGAGTTATCTGCACATAACATCAATCTTACATACCAATTAGTGAGCTGGAAATTCAGTACTGATCGATAAAAAAAAATTAAATATAATATTTTACCCCTCATTATAAGTTGCATCCCTGCTAAAGAGATTTGCAGCATGATTATGGTTGGTATTCACTGCATCATGTTGTGTTTTTTTTGTTTCACCCATATAATGTTTAGGTATGCAACTTAATTTTAAATTGATAGGACAGTTAAAAACTGAAAGTGAGGGTGCTTTATATGTATGTTGGCAGGAGGTGGGGGAAGAGAGGAACATAACAGACAAAATATAGCAGCTAAAAAAACTCAAAGGTTGTACAATATGAGTTCTGCAAAATAAAAAGATATCCTGTCAGACTTGTTCATCTCATAATCACGCAGGAGTTAATTAATAATAATCATAGAATCATAGAATCATACAGCACAAAAAAAGGCCATTCGGCCCATCAAGTCTGTGCTGGCTCTTTGAAAAGAGCAATGTAATGTAAATCCCAGTCCCCAGCCCTTTCCCCATAACCCTGCAAACCCGTCCTCCTCAAATATCCATCCACCACGTTTTTCAAAGTTGTTATCGAATCGGCCTCCACCACCCTTTCAGGCAATGCATTGCAGATTCGAACAACTCGCTGCATTTGATATAGCACCTTTGATTTCAGGAGGATTTTGTAGCCAATTTCTGCATAGCAATGCCCTACCAGCAATCACAAAATGCCTGGCCAATTTTATTTGGGGAATTATTGACCAGAACACCAGGAAAAATTGCCTTCTCTTTTCAAGTAGCATCATGGGACCTGTGATATCCACCTGAACAGACACAGATAGAACCTCAGTTTAACATCTCATCCGAAGGATGGCACCTCTGACAAAGCTGCACTCTCCCAACATTGTACTGTATTGGGGTGTCAATCTGGATTGTGAGTTCCAAGTGCTGTAAGGCTTGAATCCACCACATTACGACTCAGAGGCAAGTGCTATCATATCAAATGAGCCTGATCGACGCATGTGTCTTGTGTGAATCATTGTTGCAGATTACATTTACATTGCTGCTGTAATTGAAATGAGATGTGCTATTATTGTACTCACTTCAACCAGTTCTCTGCTCTCCACTTTTTCCCTTTTCATTTTTTAGGGTGTTTACCTTCCAAAGACATATAATACTTACAGTTTTCCCCTCTGCAGTCCTATGTGCAATCTGGGAGTCGTTTTCTTTAACCACATAAAAAAATGACCCATCGACAAAAAACATCCATTTACTTTTCACGGTCTCATCCACTGTGAAATTTAATATTTTTATCTTAAATCAGAAGCTAAGGAGAATTGTATTCTCTGGTAAGGTAATACTATCTTCCAATGTTTTGCACCCACAATTTATCCTATTTTTCTAGCTATTAGATGTCAATCTCATTGCTATAGAACTGGGAATAGACTGGTCTTCTCAGGTGCTGTCATTAAGTCTATTTGTGCATAAAACAGGACAGAATTCTTCAATTCAACAATTGTGATCAAATATCGATGGAAGATTTGCAATTTGTTCTGCATGAAAATAAAGCTATTAATTGCCAAAGTCATAAAAGAAACTCATTTTGTATGAAGTAAACTATATTTTTTCCCTGGTGTGGAACCATAAGTGTATCTTTGGTTGTCACCCTTAACAAGGTAGAAAGGGGAACATGATTTTTTTTATCACATTGGAATGTCTCAAAGTGATTTACAGTAATTATTATCAAGTAACGTTACTATTGTATTTTGAAATTGTTGGAAAAGCTTTGCATTCCAAAGTAAATATTTGCTAACTAATTGCTAATAGTACATATTTGCCAACATGTACTGATTAGATTTGAGGTGTACCTAGACACAGTCACCAAATAACACTTTCTGTACATCTTTCAGGGAGGTCCACAGTCCGATTTAAGCAATCGTTGGTTCAGTATCGCAGAGTAGAAGATACTATGAATAAAACACGAACAAAAAAGACTGAGTGTTGGCAGACTATTCCACCAGAGGGATATTGTATTCAACCCACTATTGTCCTCCTCTAGTATCTACACTGTGCACTTTCCACCAGGGATTTCGGGAGAGTGGTCAGAAGTGGGAATACTGGCTAAATGTTTTCCTTTTCACGGTCATTGGGGCCAATTGCAGCTGCATTGACTGAGATGAGTTAACTTGGCACAGACTGCAGATTGGATCTGGCATCTTCCTGATTTGATGGCTCATTTTCACACGAGGCAGTGTGAAATGAGGGGAGTTGGCACAGGGTCATTTTGCATTTCATTAACTTGACGGAGTTCAATTAACCTTTGAATGGGCTTCCAAAACATTTCCATTAAATCGTCTTGAACCGTTTTTTTTTTAGTAAAATAAAATCTCAGCCTATTGTAGAAGTATCTGAGACATGGTGTTCTCTACGTTCATCTGATAATACAGCCCGCGGAAATGCATAAAGTAAAGGAAAATATCCCAAGTCTGATATATCACATTGGACACAAAACTATCCTATTGTTCCCTATCGCCTGGTCTCAGTGCAAAGTTTGTTTTATGTATTACATATATATATATATTTAGGTGTGGTGTTCATCGAGAAATCTGCAACGAAATAACGCCAAGAGAAGTGGGACGGAGTAGTGTTTTGGTCCAAACAAGTCTTCCTCACGACAGGCGCTGATCAGGATGTTTCAGCACCTTGGATAGCGCTGAGCTTCCACACCCAATATAGCCCAATCTTCCCAAAGACCAACCAACAGAACCCTATAAAACCACAATCCGACATCAAAGTCAATGCCTGGCCATCTCTAATCATAGTAAGTGATCCAGGCCCCTATAAAAATCCTAATACCCCTCCCCCCCCCAAAAAAAAAGAGCATCAGATAAACAATCTCAATAAACAAATCGAGGGTTTGCTGCACGTCGGTCTGTGTAGTCGCTTTAACCTGAATCGCTGTCAGGGGGAATCACAGAGAATAATACCCACCAATTGCCCCTTTCAACTTCCAGCATCGGCTCCAAATTAAGGGACTCCGCTATATATTAAAAAAAATATGGCCAATTGGGTCCCGCCGCGACTTGGACTGGGAGCTGCTGCGTGTGGTGCAACACGGTGCTGCCTGTGGGTGACTTGTTCCACAGTCCCTGCGTTCCCGGGAGCTGAGAGCCTCGCGTTGCTGCCGCTTGTGTTGTAGTGTAATATCTGTGTGTGTGTGTGTGTGTCCCTCCCTCTGTCTGTCTGTCTGTCTGTCTGTCTCTCTCTGAGTCCCTTCTCACCTCCTCCTTCATTGTTCATTCATGAGTGCGCCCGCACGCCGCTCCTGGGCGATGCGTCACTGGCCGGGGCTGCAGACGCATCTCTCTCCAAGCGCAGAGGGAGGGTATAAAAGTGGAGGAGTCGAAACCCCCAAATAACTTCCTATCACTTTGCAACCCGATCGTGAGGATACGAGGCAGCGGGACTGATCGGGATCCATCAGATCTCATTGAGGTAGGCGCTCCTGATGCATCCTCATCTCACTGGCTTCATACTTTTCTCTCCAGCTTTTAGGGGACGCAGTCAGTTACCTTATTGATGAGAGGTTTTGAAAATAGCTTGAAATAGGTCTGCGGGCGCTCTCTCTCTCTCTCTCTCTCTCGTACCAGTTGCCTGTTCTGGGCTTCCAACGTGGTAGCATTGGTTACTTCAGATCATGAGTCCAAGGCATCAGGCAAAGCAACATCCTGTGTGATGGAAATCTGCCTGTGATTTGTAGATCTCACCTCGAAAGTTTTGCATATCAGTGTGAGCCATCAGTCAGCCCCTGGCAGAATGCAGACTATTTTTAATCTCTTGTGCTTCACGTGAGATATCATTACTGTTTTAGATAGCAGATACTTTAGCTGTCGTCTGCTTTTTTTCGAAGCACGAAATGGAAATCCTTTCCTTTCAGTTACAGGGGTAAATGAAAACCTTTACGGGGAACCGAGCAAAGTTTAAAGTGCACAATGAAAGTCTTCGTTAACCAATATGTGTATAGCATATGTATGTGCTCGCTGAGCTGTTCTGTAGGTGTTCTCTCTAAGCAGTAGGGACCCCCAACATCAGAAGGAAAGAAATGATCACTGTGAACATTGATCATGTTTGTATTTTAATGTAAAGTCCCAATCCAGGGAGTCTAAAGGAACAGGGCAGGTATTGAGATGTCTTGGCAAGACGGTGGAAACACAAGTTACGTCTCATTTATTCATTTCATCTAATACTTGAATGAAAATAACGTGCATGTCATTAACAGTTCCCCTTAGTAACTATAATAGTAATCCTTGCATTTAATGCAACGTCTTATCACGTTGTTGAGGCAACTCAAAGTGCTTCACATGATCTACTGTAATTTAGTATCTGACTGTGTATTTCGTGGGTGATCACAAGGGATCGCAGTAAAATCCTGGGAAGCGTTTTGAGACGTCTCCGCGTGACAGGGCGCTACATTCAATACAAGGATTACATTAAGTGTGTAGACTCTTTGCTGCCGATGGTGTTGTTTGAAACGTGCCAATAGCAGTGAGTGCAATGTGTGTGTGGCTTTGTTTTCCAGCTTTCTGCCATGAAGATTCTCATGCTGCTTTGCACTGCCTTCCTTGTGCTCGCCTTTCTTCCCTGCCATGACTGTCGAGCCCTGCAAAGCTCTGCACCAGCTACAAGCGGCCAAGAGCTCAAGTCCAGACTGCAGCAGCCGGGCTTACCGCTTTGGCTCCGCGTCGGGGAGGAATACCTTCTCCGACTGGGCAAAACCTACAGAGACCCACCCGCCTTTGCTCCGGACCACGGGGTTTCCTTAACGCAACTGACCCAACTCAAGCGCGCACTTCAAGACAAAGTTGGAGACTTGGACGAAGTTGAGAGCAGGTACCAGGGCGAAGGCGACGAGATGATGATGATAGAACGGGGCAAAAGGCTGGAGGAGCCTCCCATATCCCTGGATTTAACCTTCCACCTGCTAAGAGAAGTGCTGGAAATGACTCGAGCCGAGCAACTGGCGCAACAGGCTCACAGCAACAGGAAAATAATGGAGCTAATCGGGAAATAGACACACACACCACCCCAGTCACCAAAGATCTGACATCTACCCCGCAAAAACAAACAAAAAAAAACAACACATTATAACGTCGTGCTGATCTGACATTATACCCATTTATTTTTATAGCGTCAAACTATAAAGTTGTACATTTCAATCAATCAATCAATCTAACACTTGTATTTGACGATCAACTGACATTGTAGAAATCTAGATAATAAACATATCGGTGCCCAATCATTTTTGTTGTGCCAGAGAATGTCTAATATTTATATTTTTTAATAAAAGCTGCAAAGTGACGCTCGCTTTATAACTTTATTGTGGGTGGGGGGAGCCAACAGTGTTCGTCGATCAAATGATGTGGTGAATTTTCTAAATGTCGGGAAGGAATTGTTTGCTGATGCAAAAGGCGCATAAACTAACGCATTTGAAGCACTGAAATAAACACACTCGTGTTACAGAATGATGGCTTCATAAGTTTTTGCTCCGAAGCTTGTATTTTAGGAGCGAGCGAACAGATCGGGGGTGGGGTGGGGGGGTGGGAACAGGATTTTTTTTTATCATCAATTAAATCTGAACCCACCTGAATCCCATGCGTTATTGCTACGCGGTTATTACTCCCGAAAAGGCGCCGTTACACACACATAACTGAAATCTGAAATCTGAATTGATATCATTCAGATTTGCAAACGATCTTGCTGAAAATTACACCATTGCGCCCTTGGAGATGTGGGCGATCTTATTCATGGTCTCAAAACATGTTTTGGACATGAAGCGTCTCTCCCCCTCGCCAGCCCTGTAGCTGTCTGGGGAGCAGATTCCTTCGCTTCACACTCCAGGTAAGAACTTAAAAGATTATTTAACATTTCCCGGATTGTCAACCGAAGTTCGTTGGAAACGTCCCGAAAGGTTACCAGAAACCCCGCCTCTCGGTGCATCTTAAAAAAAAAAATGAACGCTGATATTTTCCAAATCCCCATCAGCTCCAAATCGTGTGGTGGTGTCAAGTGAAATTAAGGTGGAGCCTTAGAACCAGAACAACGGGTGAAATTAAATCTCGCTTTTTGCGATATAAAAAAAATCAAAGTTCAGCAGAAACCTGAAGGTTACGTTTTGAACATTTAAAAAAAAAATTTAAATTTTTTTTTTTTTGGGGGGGGGGAAGTGATGGATGAGGGATATTCTCTCTCCCTCTCTCTCTTTCACTGTGGGCCGTTGTTCTGTGCGCTTTGCTGTTGGAGTCAGTTTAACCAGGAGAAGGAGAACACGTGGCGAGCGCCTTTGCCACTCTTCGCTTCACTCCCACTCTGATCCTCATCCCCGTCCGGGGCAGCGTGTTCAGAACCAGTCTGCGAAGAGAGGGTGAAGCCAAGAGTTCGTTCAAAGTTTTTAAAAAATATATATATATTAGCTCGAAAAGCAAAAAAAAAAACCCACCACCACCACCCTTCCGATTGCGAGACCACAAGCGACTGCAAAGAGTATCTCGGCTGAACAAAGCTGTTCCGTTTCCCCACACAGACCCATTCACCACTGAAGTACATTTCATACCCTGAACACTGCACATCAATAACAATAACACAGCAGGAGCATTGCATGGGCACTCTGACAGAGAGTGGGTGCTTTTCAGGCTCTGGACACCTCCATTGCACAGGCATATCCTGTCTTTCCAGACAGGAACATTCTGGCTTACCTCGGGATTCATTTATTATCGGTCCTGGTGTCAGAATTATTAATCTTAGGTGAACATATGAGCCTAGGCGTTTCTGAGCAGGGCAATTACCCAAAGGGAATCACGGCCTTGGGCATTCAGACTGCACTTCCGAGCTTCACATCCACGTTGCTCATCATCACATCTAACGCATACTTTCTCAGACAACAAAAAAAAAAGTGTCGGTAGGATTAAAGGAAGCACTGGCATATTGAGGGTTCCATTCTTGTGCAGCAAATGCATATGAGTTATCCGTTTATTTTACAACGGCGTCCTGTGAAAGGGGGAAGTGGCGCTTGTCCACAACATACAGTCAATCCACTTTACAATATATTCTGTGAAACACTTTTGAGACATCTCAACGACGTGATAAAGCTGTATATCAAATGCAAGGATTATTGTTATTATTGCTTGGCTGGGCATCGCTTGTCTACAGGCAGCGAAGCTGTTAAATTTTTAACAGCTCCTGTTCAGCATAGGCGCATCCCCCACTCCACAGGAATTGACGTATTTCTCACCTCTTCTCTCCAGATCTACCTTCTCAACTATTTTTTTAAACTCCAGTGAGGAAACACCTGACGCTATGCCGCAGGTCTGTATCTGACAGCTCTGGGCCAAAGGACTGCATCAGTGTACCACAAGGGTAGAATCCAGAGCAGTCAACCAGAGCATCGTGTGTCATTCAAAAGGAGGATATCTTAGTATTTTGGGCTTGGGGAATGGCTAATGCCTACTTTGTTTGTATTGATATAATTCAGCTAAAATCAATTAAAAATAGGGGAACATCTTCACGTCAGACTGAGATCGCTGCTGTCCCTTCACACCCTGGCACCTGCCTACCTTTCTAAGCTGCTTTCTCCCCACTCCACTACTCACTGCCTCCGCTTGGTTGGCTCTGGCTTTCAGCTCCTCCTGTCCCATCCGCTCCACCATTGGTGGTCGCGTTTTCAGTCACTACACCCCGAAGATATGGAACTCTCTTTCAAAGTGGAGTCCTGTAGCTCAGTGGATAGAGCACTCGCTTTGCAAGTGAGAGACCTGAGTTCAATTCCAGGCAGAGGGCGAAACCTTGGGCAAGTTTTCCTTACTCCACACGCCTAATAATAATCCCTCCAAAAAAAAATAAATAAATAATAAATTGGTCATTTTCAATCTACGACTGTTTGTGCTGTGCGCAATTGGCTGCTGCGTTCGCCCACAAATATACAGTCAATTCACTTTACAGTGTGTTCTGTGAAGCACTTTGGGACGTCCTCCCGACGTGAAAAGCGCTATATTAAATGCAAGGATTATTATTATTATTATTATTATAAAACATTTCTTCAAACATTTCTTCACTCAGAGGATAGTGAATTTATGGAATTCTCTACCCCAGAAGGCTGTGGATGTTCAGTCATTGAACAGAATCAAGACTGAGATCAATAGATTTTTAAAACTAAAGGGATATGGGGATAGGGCGGGTAAATGGAATTAGGTTAGAAAATCATCCATGATCTCATTAAATGGCTGGGCAGACTCAAGGGGCCGAATGGCCTACTCCTGCTCCTATTTCTTATGTTCTTATGTTCAAACTTTTTGCCTTACCCCCTTCTTCCCGTTTTAGATCATGATTGAAAACCTTCCTCTTCAACCAAGCTTATGGTCACCACCTTCCTCTCCCCTGCATGGCATCAGGCTCTGCCATTGTTAAGCGCTCCGAGACACTGCTCCACGTGAAAGGCACTATATGTAAATGCAAGTTATTGTTGTTGCTGTCATTGGGAAAACACACTTAGGGAAAATAGCTGTGTACAGCATGTGTGGGATTTTTGTCAGCCAATCCTGCGAGGGGCTTAAGAGCAAAGAAGTGGACAAATTAAACTATGCTTGAATGTTTGTGCAACTTATACACCTAGTTTGCAGTTGGAAACGGCTACACAAAAAAAATGAGCAAAATTAAAGGTGTGGCTGGTATTTGGAATCAGCTCACCATTATTCAAATTTCAACATGTTCACCAGCAGCCAGACATGGAATGGGTCCCAAAGTAACTCAGCATCAACAAGATACACGCATCTCAAATACATTATTTTGGAGTTACCACTTGAATTATGTTTCATGCCTGTGAAATGTATTCCCATGATACAGACATGCTTTAAACAGACTACTGACATGACATTGTGGAAACTGGCATTGCCTCTGTCAACACCCACATCTCATTATTAGTAAGGTATGTCACACATATATTTAATTACATTGCAGAGATGAGTACTTCAATAGATTCATATTCTGTTGTAGATTTATAACATATCATGGGTATTTAACCATATATATCCAGTGATAGGAAACTTCATTTGTTCAAATTAATGTTTCAGTTTTATGGATGTCAGGAGTGACTGGTATTTGTACACTTTGACAGGCTTTGCCAGCTCACAGGGAACCTTTCAACTTCAACATATCTCTCTTTCTCCCAAAAACTTCTTATGTTGGAGAATTGCAGAGAATCCAAACAAATCAAGTTTTTCAACATCCAAATCCAAGCAACAATCCAAATAACATCATCTATAATAATATTTGTCTACTACATTACAGCTAATCCTGAAATATAATATGAATTTTTAAAAAAAGATCTTGTAACTTCTTGTAACTAGCCTGAATGTTTTACTGATTGGATGCATGTAGCTTAATTCAACAAACAAAATGAAGCACAATAGCTCCTTAAGCAATCAGCCAATCGCTTAGTGTTAAAGTCTTAATGGATGAGAAAGTGAGGTTGGTTTCTTTTCTAATGGTGTCCAATGAAAACAATTTGAAATCAGAAATGTAAAAAGTTTACAGCACAGACGTACATTCAGACCATTGTGCCTGTGCTGGTGCAACACTTACTAGTTTTAATCTGTTACTTGGGGGCTTCAGTCAGACATCAAATTACATCAGGAAAAAAAAGAAGGTTGTGCTAGAATGGTGGAGATCAGTAATCCAAGATTATCAGAAAATTCTTGCACTAAAGTACATTTTCTGATGACAGTTATCAAGGGAAACACAAATACAATTTATTCAATTTAGATCTTTTCCTATTTTAGATTTTATTAACAACTTGCACTTACATAGCACCCTCCAGCAGCAGGGTAATGTCTTAAGAGTGCGTAACAATGGCGAAGCCTGACTCCGAGGTGGGGGGGGGGGGGGGGGGAAAGTGACCATAAGCACGGTCGAAAAGCATGGTTTTCATGAGGGACTTAAAAAGGGGGAAGGGGCAAGGCGGAGGGATTGAGGGAGAGTGTTCCACAATTTCGGGGCATAGTGGCTGAAAGCGTGACTTCCAATAATAATAATAATCCTTGCATTTGATATAGCGCTTTTCACGTCGGGAGGACGTCCCAAAGCGCTTCACAGAACACACTGTAAAGTGAATTGACTGTATATTTGTGGGCGAACGCGGCAGCCAATTGCGCACAGCAATGTCCCACAAACAGCAATATCCCACAAACAGTCGTAGATTGAAAATGACCAATTTTTATTATTGTTTTTGGTTTTGGAGAGATTATTATTAGGCGTGTGGAGTAAGGAAACCTGCCCAAGGTTTCGCCCTGCCTGGAATTGAACTCAGGTCTCTCGCTTGCAAAGAGAGTGCTCTAACCACTGAGCTACAGGACTCTACAATGGTAGAGCGGAGGGTGTGAGGAACAAGTAGCAGGCTGGTGCCAGTCGAGCGGAGGCGCCGGGTAGTGAATTGGGTAGAGGAGGTCGGAGAGGTAGGGAGATGCCAGGGAGTGAATTGATTTGAACACGAGTGTGAGGATCATGAAGTCGATCCGTTCCGAATTGGGGAGCAGTGGAGCCTGACCAAAACTGGTGAGATGGAGTACAGAGTTTGATCCGGGTAAATATGCGGGGGGCAGAGCTCTGAATAAGGTTGATTATTTGAATAGTGGAGCTAGGGAGACCAGCGAGGAGTGCATTTGAATAATCCAGGTGGGAGGTGACAAATCATGTACAAGGGTTTTGGCTGCATTTGGGGTAAGGTACGGTCGGAGGCGGGCAATGTGGTGCAGGTGGAGGAAAGCGATCTTGGTCAGGGATCGGATGTGGGGGAGGAAGGACATCTGGGGGTCAAACCAGATACCTAGATTGTGCACTGGTTCGGTGAGTATGAGGGAAAGCCCAGGGAAATTGAGGAGTTTAAGAGGACTGAAGATGTTGAGAGGAACCAAAGAGTATAGCTTCCGTCTTATCCACATTCAGTTGCAGGAAGTTTGCACTCATCCAGGCCCTGATGTCTACCAGAGAAGCTGATAGAACATCGGCGGACCTGGAGTCGAACCTGAAGGAGGCAAAGTAGATTTGTGTGTCATCCGCATACATGTGGAAGAACTGTGTCTGCGGATGACATCGCCAAGAGGGAGCACATAAATGAGGAAAAAAAGGGGGCCAAGGATGGAGCCCTGGGGTACCCCGCAGGTGCAGGGGGAGAAATCATTTACTGAGATAAAGTGGAGGCAGTTGGTTAAGTAGGACTTGGACCATTCGAGTGCGGTTCCACTAAGGTGGATGAGGGAGGAGAGGCGGTGGAGGAGGCTGGCATGGTGGACTGTTTCGAACGCGGCAGAGTGATCCAGGGGGATGAGGTAGAGGGAGCCCTGGTCAAAGATAGGATGTCGTGATTTTGACAAGCCCTGTCTATGTGCTGTGGGCAGGGCAAAAACCAGACAGCAGGGGCTCAAGGAGGGAGAAGCGTGACCAAAGTTGACCTGCAACAATGCATTCCAAGACTTTAGTAAGGACAGATAAGTTGGAGATGGGATGCTAGTGTGCGAGATTAGAGGGACCAAGGGTGGGTATTTTGAGGAGGGGTGTGATAACAGCAGTTTTCAGTGGGAGTGGAACAGAGCCTGAGGAGAGAGACTGGTTGACCGGCCAACAGGGGGGAGAGAGGGGGAGTTGAGTGACCAGCAGCTGGGTGGGGAGTGAGTCGAGGCAGCAGGTGGTGAACTTCATACGAGTGATTGTGGTTGAAATGGAAGAAAAATGGGGGCAATGGAGTGGAAGGAGGGGAAACAGCAGGAGACGTGGCTGAGGGAGAAGGTGGTGTGGATGGTCTGGGTGGGGTGGAAGGGGATATGCAGCCAAGCGTATGTTTTCAATCTTTGAGGCAAAGAATTCTAGGACCTCTTTGCACTTGGTGTTTGATGTGAGTATAGAGGGAGCTAGAGGGGGTGAACGGAGGAGGTGATGGATGGTGGAAAACAATGTCTTTGGGTTGTTTTTGGCCTTTGGGTTGACTTTGGAGTAAAAGTCAGTTTGGGTCAGTGAAAGGAGGAGGCGGTAGGTACAAAGGAAGCAATACAATTATTAATGGAGTATATGAATTAGTCAATCATGCTGAAGGACAAAATTTCATGAATGAGTCTTTTTGCTTTCATCTTGATTCCAATTGTCTCCCTCTTCTAGATACTAACTTGCAATGGTCTTTGATGCCTCACTTAAATGGAACAAAGCATTCTTCATCTATGAGATTAATCAGTGACACGACAAATAAGCCCAACCCTTTCCTCACCCAATATTATTCTTGATTGGGTTGTTTAAAAGGGAAATAGAGAGATACTTGGAAAGTAAAGAGTATTGAGAGAAATTGGAAAGGGTGAGGAAATAAAATGGCCCCAAAGACTGGATGCCCTACTGCTGTTCCTGTGTTACTGATATCCACACACATGTATGTTCCACATGAGATATTACTGATTCAAGAGTTAAAATGCTAGCTTTTCCTTTCAGTAATATGAGGTCAATTGTCGTGCTTTATCAGAGATTCACACTTAAGATTTTTTTTGGAGCCAAAATTGTGAAGCGCTTTGGGACAAACAACTGACACGAAAGGCGCTATATACGTGTACATTTTATTGAATTGCACATCGATTTGAGCAAGGTTCCCGATTGTCATGAATTTCATCAGTTGTGCCAAATTGTGAAAATACACACCAAAAAACTTTACGGAAACAAAATGCACTTTGTTTCACCCACTAAAAACTTTTAGGCCTTTACTCCACGCTCAGTTAATAATTTGAATTTCACATAAAAGTAGCTTCCCACTCTCATGGATGTAAACTGAATGTGCCTTATCAGGGTTTAAGCTAAGAAGCAGAGAATCTCGGCAGCTCAGTTAATTTCTCTTGAAAAGAAATCAAAACTTAACCTCAATAGTCAGGAAACATCAAACCCTGCCACTTGCAAGATTTCAAAGCTTCTCATAAGTGCTACGGCAAATACTGGAAAAATATTCAGCAATAAAAACAAAAAACTGCTGCAACATGCAGGTTAGCTATTGGCTTAAACCCTGTATCTTGGCAATTTAGCTTAAAAACTGTGATCAAAGGTGGCCAGCAGTTCAATGGCTTGGCAGCTTGACTTGTAAAAAGTGGATTCCCATTCAGAGCTTTGGGAGTTCAAGCTGTCCTGCTTGTATGGAACAGCTTCAGTATCTCCCAGTTTAGAAGGAAAATTAGGTAAGATCAGTCCAACTCTGAGAGGCATTTCTCCTGCAACCCAAGATATAGGACAATATTGAGAGGAAAGGCAGAAAGGGAAAAGCTTGAATGTCCCATGTTCTTCCTTGAAGTAGGAAACTTGACTTAAGGAGCCAAGAGAAAACCAAAAGGGGGAAATATGTTACTCTTTCCATTCCCATCTTAAAAAATATATTTTCCCTTTGATGCGGTATCATTACAGATGGAATAAAGCATGGTATCGTTGCGATTCTTCATACAATAGGGAAGAATGAGAAACTACTTTGTGCCCTTAAGATGCCTTTTTTTATGTAAAAAAATTCTTCCTACCCATCAAAGCAATAATCATGTACTGAATCTGATTCCAAAGATGGCGAAGCACGATCATCAAAGCCAAAACTGAAATGAAGAACGCTAGCCCCTGTGAGAGAATAAGACACTGGTGCTGCACTTGTGTTCATAACCGATTCTTTGAAGATTTTGTTATTGCACAAGAGTGATGAGAAGGCAATTAGGATAAATAATGCAAACACTGTTAACCGTAGTAAAGCATTTCATGCAACTTACATGAAAGGGCCATTTTGTTAGATCAGTCATTTTGGTGGAGAGTAACCCTTTCTTTTGTTGTTTTCTTTCACCCTTTATCTGTTCAGGCTATCTTCAAGAGAACAGGATTGGAGAGTTTCTTCCACCCTATTTTCTCTCCTTACTCCTCTCTTGCTTACCGAACTGAGATAAATCCACAGCCTCCAGCAGCAGTCCGCACCCCAAGTGGCCTTGCTTCACGTGTGAGCCAAGGCAGTGTGTATCAGGAGGATATTCAAGCATGACACCATACTCACCTAACATTCACCTGCATCCACCTTCTAGCAGAGCTCACTAGATGGCGAGCACGAGCTGATTCTGGCTGGCTGGTGGAACTCTCCTCTTCCAAGCCCAGGAACACCAAATGTCACTGGGGGAAGGGAATCATCCCACTCAGCTCCTGTTAGGCCTGCAAGCCAAAGCCCTAATGGGTAGGGTGGTTCTAGCTGGACAAGGAACAGGAAAGCTTTTGCCAGACAGCGATATCAATCACAAGCTCTGCAGTTTTAGCTGGTTAGAATCCAGCAGTACCCCCAACACACACTTTTGGGCTCCCTTGGCTCCTGCTGACCTGCACCAAATTAGGTGGGAATTTGGGAATTAGGTCAGCAGAATACGACCCTCCAGGGAGGGAGTGCACATTTCATTCCAACAATCTATCTCTGGAATTTCCATGTGAAGGTGGGATGCATGGAATTCTCAATTTTGTTTGGATTCTCTTAAGTATGGTGATGGGTTTCCACATGTGTCAGTCACCCAGCTGACCAAACAAAAATGCCAATTGCAGTTCTGAACTGTCCAAGATAACTTAATTCAATGCAGACAGGAATCAAATATGGGATTTTTCTACTCTGTGTGGGTTTGTGCCACGCCACATGGGTACATTTTTCATTGAGTCTTTGGGGGTGTGCATCAAATAGTGTTTTTTTAATGTACCTTTTCAATAATGTCCTAAATGGTAATGAGTGAAAAGTGCAGTTTACTTTAATCATGCATAAAAGGCTCATTAAGACGCATGATTGAGCATGGCAATGAGGTGCATGATGTTATGGTTGAATTGTTCTATAAATACAGAACTCTGCAACTATTTAGATACCAATCTTTACTGACCTGCAATGCAGCTGCATCTGAACTAGCTTCATCAGCTTCCCCTTCAAGTGCAGCCGAACTGTGATCTGCTGCGGGTTTCTTTGTGCCTTTCTCAGTGGATCCTGTTGACCCGATCTCACTGTTACTGCCTCCTGAACTGCTGCTCATTAGCTCCACACTGGGGCCAGCCTTATCCAACATCGGAGCTTTCTTGCAGGTTGGGTGAAGCAGAGTATCGGCAGTTGTTGCTGTTGACACCAACTGAGATCCCTCAACACCACGAGCCCCACTCAGCTCAACTGGTGCCTATATAAAGACAGTTAGAGGAATAATAACAATAACCTTGCATTTACTTAGGTGCCTTATTGCTTCAAATCACTTGTATATCTAGGTGAATGTGAGAGCAGTCCAAATCATGCGCAGCAATGTCCCACAAACAGCCAAGAAGTGAATGATCATCTTTTTAATTTGGGAGTTTGTTGGCCAGGGCACTGGGAGATGTTTCTTTTTCTCTTTTCAACTGCCGTAAGTTCTTTAACATCCACCTGAACAGGCAGACAGGACCTCAATTTAACATCTTATCAGAAGGATGGTAGCTCCAACAATGCAGTACTTCCCCAGCACTGTAACATAGACAGTATCTACTTTTATCCATCTAGCACTATAATGAGTTTAAAATAAAATTTAAACTTAATGGCATTTTTCTTTTTCTTGGTTGAATTTGAGCATTATTCTAGGGATAACTGCTCATCCTCATTGAGGGAATCACCCTTTTTTTTATTGAGATAACTCATGTTCCTGAGATGACTCCCCCCTTGCCTTTGCTTCTTATCACTGCTGTCAGTGGCTCTTTATACACCATCTTTGAGCTGCTTTTCTCAAGTACTCACTAAATCAGTCCAAATCAGTGCCACTTATGTGTTACCTACCAGTCCTTCCCATCCATATACATCATGCTGGACCTGAATGCAAGCAAGTTCCTATGATGACAGCAAAGTGGAACTCGCATTTCCCCCAACCATTACCATCTATTTGATGTGAGATTCATGATTTGGAAAATGGGCCAGTTAGAACGAATCGTGTGCTCACTGAAGGTGAATAAGAAGAAATTCTCTTGAGATTAGCTGGCACATTGATACACAACAATTATTTATATTATTTAGCACTGCATCAGGAGGACATCTCAAAAGCACTTCATGTAGCTGACTGGGAGTCTGAGTTTAGGGGTGGCGGCAGCTAAGAAGGGTAGGGAAGGGTGAAAGATAATCAAAAGTGTGGTTGCAAAGAAGGTCTTCAGGTGGGCTAAAAGATGCAGAAAGAGGGGGCGAGGTGGAGAGACTCCAGGATGGAGTTCCAGAGAGTGAGGACAGAATGGCTAAAAGCATGATGAAGTTGCAGTTTGGGCAAGGACATGAAGCAGGCTGAGGAGAGGGAGTAGCCAGGGCAATAGGGTTGCAGGTCACAAATGCAAGTTGTTGTTGCTTCCCTCTGGGATACCGCAACATATAAAAAACAGTTATTTCTCAAATATTAACATCAAGTGTTGAGTGTTAAGAGTTACCTGTTGAAAAGCTATCTCTGGCACTGAACCACTTTCCTTCCCTAACGGCAATGCACTGGTGCCTATCGGTTTCAGTTCTGCTGCAGTGTCAGGTGGCAGTACAGTAGTGGCAACATCATCCTCTCCTTCAGAAACTTCAGTGTGAACTTCTTCTTCCTCTGCCTCATCCGCTTGGTCCAGCTCATCCTCCTCCTCTTCAACTGTGCACATTAAAAAAGAACATCACTTTGAAAGGAGGTAAGAGCAACTCACAAAAAGGTCTGACATGACACACGTCTTGCCTCTAAATACGTTTTACTTTCTGCATCAATACAGTGTTACAGGTTGCCAATACCATGCTAGTTTGGATAAACTCAGTGTGCTCACACTGCTTTCAACTAGAAAGGTTTTAGGAATCAATCCCCTTACACGGAGTCAATTCATGTAGAAAATGGTGGAAATAAGCGATACTTTGTGAATTGGTCACAGATATTTTAAAAGAAATGTTATCCACTCCAGTTCTAGGAGCCAGTGCACAATCTCTGAGTTTTGTTTAACCCTTGCCTCTTCTGATCCTTGACCAAGTCCACTATAACAATGCTATCTAAGGACAAGTGATTTTTTTAAATGAGCACAATCAATTCGCTAAATACTGTAAATGTAATACAGTGTAAAACTAAATCAAGGGACCATAAAACTGAGTAGAATTAGTTAGAAAAAATTAAATCTTTGAAGATGGTTGCTGAATTTGCTCACATTTCTGGAAATCAATCTCTTTAAGAAGCCTTTCTCCTTTCCTCAAGTCTGCTGAAAAGTGGCTCATGTCTTCATAACCACGTTGTATCATTTCCAGATGTGATATTTTGGATGCTTCTGAAATTCTGAAAAAGTCAGACAGCACTTGTGCATTTGCATTAGAACTTGGCATTGTGACAATCCTTTTTTTTACCATTTTAAAGTTAAAGGAGAGCATGCATAAACAGCAGAGTTGGGTACTTACTTTTTGAGGAGAGGCTTGGCGTTCTGTAAGAGAAAAGGAATTTTGTTAAATGCTTAAAACTAAACTGATCAACTGCCCCGAATCAGTCCTATCCGCACCAATCCTATCTGCACAGGTAACCTTCCAGTGGAGAACACTGAATAGCAATCACGAGCAGGACGCTTGGCTGATTTTCCTCTTGCTAACCCAGGGGCATTGATAAGCAGGATCCGTCACTCCAGGGAAAGAGTGCGCATTCCATTCCAACACTCTGCCTTTGGAATTTCCATGTGTAGATAGGATGCAAGGAATTCTCAATTTGGTTTGGTGATATGGGTTTCTACTTTGTCAGACTCCTGGCCAATCAAAAAAAGGGGGTGGAGGGCAGTTCCAGTGCTCTGAATATTCACCTGGCTGAGATCATTTAAGTCAGTGCAGAATGAGATTCAAATATGCAACTTTCTGGTCTGCATGAGTAAAATTAAAATCATGTAATTCAAGAGTTAAACCAGATTAACTCCAAATAATACCATAACACCACCGCCAACAACAACTTCCATTTATGTAGCACCCTTCATCCAGGGTAGCATCTCAGAGGTTTATTAATATAACAATGCATAACAAAATATCCTATAAATAAGCATTAGTAATTGCTATTCTTGCTGCTCCCGGTGTTTGTTGGTCTCTTCTGTGTATCACTACAAGTGACAAATACTGAGGATATTACAACTTTTATTGTGGTCCATAAAAAACATGTTTGTACAATGCTGGTGATTATTTTAGTACTTCCTTTCACCTTTCTACCAAATGAATCCTTGGCACAGCAAAATTCCCGACACATATATGTATACCTTCTTGCTCACAATTAATAATAATAATCCTTGCATTTGATATAGCGCCTTATCACATCTTCGAGACGTCTCAAGGTGCTTCACAGAATATACTGTAAAGTGAATTGGCTGTATTAGTTGTGGGTGAAATGCGGCAGCCAATTGCAACGCATTCAAACGGCTTATTGTTAACTTACACATGATTAAACCCATCTCATCTCAGTACCTGTATAAAGACAGATATCTCAGGCTCCTCCATGGACTGCAGCCCAGACTCAACGACCTTGGACACCATCTCGAGGTGGTCTCCATATTGCTTCACCAGCGAACGCACATGTTGTGTCTTCTCTTCCTGTTCCACTGTAATTTTTTGCAACATGTTCTTTTTCCGTTCCTCCAAGATTTGATACAGACCATCAAACTTTTCGCACATGGTTTCTTTTTGACTCCTACTATTGTCCTGCAACATATTTCAGTATCAGCTTTTTAGCACAGGTCTCACTTTTCCCAACTCTCCGCAGAGAGAAAATCCCATTACAAGCTCAAACTGGCGAAGCTGACCTGTCGAGAATTGGATGTATTCGCTGAACAAGACACCTAAAATACCTTGCGATTGTGCCCTGAAAACCATAATCGTCAAATTTAAGTGTGGAGAATTGTGTAAAATTCTTAAGATTGCTTTTTAATTTGGAAGCCTGATCTCCGCATTTCTTAAAAGGGATTAAGACCACACAAATATATGAGGAAGAGGTCTTACCAGGAATTACTTAGGGTAAATGTTTGCTACTCCAAGAAACATTCATCCTAACCCTGCTTTTCCCCCATACCCTCTAATACCTTTCGTCAGCATGTGCTTGTTCAATTTGTTTTCAAATGCTCCCAATTGACATCCTTCCAACATTAGAGGTGCTATATAAATATGTATAGTATTGTAAGAAAGGTTATAAATACCTCAATGATTTTGCATGTGTCTTCCAACTGAGCGATCACAGACTGGAGTCTGTCGTTGCTTGCCACCAGTATTGCAATTCCATCAGTGAGTTCACACTGGACAAATGATACAGTAAATGACACAGGTAAAATCTAATTGAGACAAGCAGTAATTATATGACTAAAGCCCTCCAGTTTCAGATATGACATTTTTTTTCTGCAACTGAAATTATAATCAAGACAAGATGCAACCAATAATTACTGAAATAGCTTTGCTGTCAGAACCATCACCTCAAACATTTTCCAATCCCAAGATTTTCCTGCTCCAGTTTATTCCTTCCTTCCTTCTCCTGAAGGCAGTTTGACCCCTTTTCCCCCCTTTTATGGGTGTATAGTTCCTCGGATCCTGGTTGCTCTCTGGACCCGAGCCCGAGTCTGGTACCTGTCCCAAGTGACTATCATTTATGGGGGAGCCTCAACAATAAACGTTGGCAGTAAATGCAAATGCTGAGAAATCATAACTAACTCCAAACTGTCCTTGTCAAATGTGCACGTGCATGCACATTCTACCAGGGCTTTCTATAATTGGAGTGGGAATATCGAGTCATACCCCCTTCCCTAATCAAACGGCCAGTTGATTTAACTTTAACTGCTATCCTGACTGAAATGGCAAAAGACAGTGCATTTACCCATTAGTGAAGCTCGGGGGCAAATTTTTAAACTGTAATTTTTGTGCTAAGGCAGCCTGGGGGTATGGTTCTCTGGTGTATCAACATATTAAGCCAAGGATTAGTAGGGGGTGAATTTCTTGTCCTGATTGCTTCACTCCCAGTGCATGACCAAATAACATTAGGAGCATATTGCTGCCTGTTCTCTATTGGGAAGGCCCAAGGATGAGGGAAGACACTGTAAACTGGAGAGGACAATGAGGATAGAACACCCACCTTTTGTCTTTTGTGAACATTGTTGAGTGGAGCCACCTCGCAGTCTTTGTGAGCCCCAAACACTTTACACAAGGCACATGTGGGTACTTCACATGTCAGGCAGTAGATATTGATCTTTTCTTCATCGTGCTCTTCACACATAGGCAGTTCAATCTTCTTTACAGGTCTGCAAACAGAATGCATTTTTGCAGCTCTGGGTTAATTTGAAGAGACAAGATGCAAGGAGTAAGAGGACTGGGACAGGCTGGGCATTGGGAATGAAAGTACAGCTTGTTCTGAAAGTTAGTGCAGATGCGATGAGCCAATGGCTTCCTTCGTTGTAATATTAATATTATCCTATATTATTATTCCACTATATGTGTCTGGCTTAACAGGCTTCTACAGTATATATAATAAATTTCTATGATTCAAAATTAACAGTAAACATCCAGGGTTGTTTGACGCTTCCACTAATCAAAAATTTCTGGCCAACAGCTATTCAAGATAAATTGATCGTTCACTTTATGGCTGTTTGTGGGACATTGCTAAGCATAAAATAGTTGCTGCTACGATTACAGAGTTGCTGTCTTTGACGGCAATTCCCTGTGAAGTGCTTTGAGATATTCAAATAAAAGCAGGATGATTGTTTTTTAACATTTTTATTTTTTAATAATAATAAAAAAAATAATAATTAATTTATTTTTGAATAATGAATTAATAATGATACGATCCTTGTCTGCGCTCATGGAGTACAGCTTTCATTCGCTGCCTTACTTGACAGTCTAATTGCAGCCAATCCTGCGCGCAATTAATCGGCTGCCGCCTTTCTCGACACGAAATATACAGTCAATTCACTTCACAGTTTATCCTGCGAAGCCCTTTGAGGCGTCTCGAAGATCAAATGTAAGGGTCACGATGATGGTGGTGATGGTTTGGTCTCTTCACACCAACATCCGAGGATTCAAGATGGCGGCGGTCGGGCGGCGCGACGTCGCCGAACACGATGGTAAATCAGGGAGAAAGCCCCGTAGTGTGTTTTTTTTTTTTGCAATCCAGACGCGTGGGCGGAGCGGGGCTGCCAGGGGTTCCCGGGCTCGAGGCCTCCCGCCGCGGGGGAGCGGGGGGCGGCCTGGAACCGGGACCGAGGCGGCTGCACGTGGCCTCCTGAAGCAAGGCCGGGGGTCGACGCCCCTGGCGCGGGGCCTCGGGTCGAACACGCCAGCGCGCGGGAGGGCAACACCGGGCGCGGGCTCCGACGCCCCCAACGGCCCAGCGGATCCGACGCGGGGAGAGGGACCCGGGTCTTACCTGTTCGGCGCGGAGCCGACGGCGGGGGATTCGCCGTCTCGGCTGCTCCAGACCACCATCGCGGCCATCGCCGACGCCTCCAGTCGACTCCGACTGCCGCGTGACGTCACATCCGCCCGCCTACCCTCGCTCTCCCCCTGAGAGCCTCGCCTCCCTGACACCACGACATGGTCTCCCTCCCCACTCGACCCCACTCTCCCCTCCCCGCGGGCTCGCCACGCCACGTTACCTCCCCCGACCCCACTTCGCCCTCAGCCGTTACTCCTTGGCTCCCTTTCAGCGTCTGCACTCCCGCGGCGCTAAACGCCTCGACCTCCCCCCCCCCCACCCACCCGGGCGCTCCCTCACGCTCATCGAAACCGGCTCGCAATCTGGGCGTCCGGTTCGACCCCCCCACCTCCCCGGCGCTGCCGTCCTTTCCTAATCCCCCGCATCCGGCCCCATGGCCAGGAGCGCCTTCTTCCACCTCCGCCACATTGCCCGCCTCCCACCCGGATTACTCAAAACGCACCCCTCGCCGGCCTCCCCGGCTCCACTGTTCACTCGGAACTCTGCTGCCCGCATACTGACCCNGGACCCGAACTCCGTACCCACATTTCACCAGCTCTGGCCAGGCTCCACTGGCTCCTCGACTTCCAAGATCCTCACGCTCGTGTTCAAATCCCTTCATTCTCTGGCACCTCCCTACCTCCTCACTCCCAATCCACCACCCGGCGCCTCCGCTCAACTGGCACGAGCCTCCTGCTTGTCCCTCGCTCCCTCTGCTTCAGCATTTTAGGTCGCCCTTCAGCCACCACGCCCTGAAACTTTGGAACACTCTCCCTTAGCCCCTCCGATTTGCTTCCTCTCTCCCGTTTTTCCAGTCCCGCCTTAAAATCTTCCTTTTCGACCCGTGCTTATGGTCACCTCCCCAACGCCCCCTCCTTTGGAGAGCACTATATAAGTGCATGTTGTTGTAGTCTTGGCTGACTGTCCAACAGCAGCCACTCTGACTGCCCTATCTCCCATTCCCGCCACAAGGACCATCAGCAACAATAACAACAACAAAATTACATTTGTAGAGCACCTTTTACGTCGGGAGGACGTCACAAGGTGCTGGACAGACAGAGTTACGGACCTGAGCTGGGGGTCGGGGAGGATGGAGGGCAGTGGGGGAAGCAGGAAGATTGAAAACATGATCGAAGAGGAGGGTCTTGAGACGGGTCTTGAAGGTGGCAAGTCTTTGAGCCTGGGGACCAACCTCTTCTCCCTCATCTACATCCCCACCCTCCCTGTCAATCCTACCCCTCCTTGTTCCCCACATTCCGCCACAACTGTCCCCTCTGCATCGGCCTACAAAATGTCCGCTTCCTCTCCAATCAAACATTCACTATCCTCATTGTCGATGAAAACATTGACAACCTCGCACCTACCGAAACTAGGCGACACCTTTCCCCTCCCTGACAGAGGCCACGCCACCCGGCTACACCTTCCGTCGTACCCCACAACCTTAACGGCCGTGGTGGTGGCGGTATGGCTCTCATCTCCCAGTCCCCATTCAGCCTATCCCCTTTCTTCTCCGGAACATTCCCCTCTGAGCACCTTACTCATTATCACCCCTCCAACCTATCCTTCAAAATTCTCGTCATCTAACGCCCCCTCCCCAAGCCCTCCCCCACCTTCCTCCCTGACATCGCCACTCTCCTATCTTCTCTTTCCCTCAGTCCGAACGCCTCCTTATCCTAGATGACCTCAACCTTCACTTCACTCCCTCCTACCTCTGCTGACTTCTCCCTCCTCTCCTCCCTCAACCTCTCCCTCCACATCCACTCCGCCAGCTCACATCCACCAACACCCGCTCAACCTGGTGCACTTGGGGCCTCAACGTCCCTCTCCACTGCCTTGGAGTCATCTGAACTCCTCCCACTGTGGGCTTCCTCCCGCAATGACCTATCCTCCTCGGTCACTCTCTTCCACAAATCCCTCTCCATCACTCTCTATTCCCTTGCTCCCCTCACTTCCTGAACCGTCTCCTACTCACGGAAGTCACCCTGGTGTATCAGCCACCTCCGCTCCCTTAAAGCACAGGTGTGTCCCGCTGAATGCACCTGGCTCAAATCTAATTTAACGGTCCATCGGCAGATCTGGCTGGACCTCCGCTAAATAGTTCTTCCACTTCAAGACAATCTTGGAGATCAAGGACAACCTCAGGTTCCTCTTCTCCATCACCAACCGGCTCCTCCTCCCACCTTCTCACGCCTCGCCCATCATCTCCTCCAAGTCCAACTGCGAGGTGATGCTGGACTTCCTCAAAACCAAAGTCGAGGGGATTTGCTCAGTTGCCTCTGCCTTTCCGTCTACTATCAGCTTTCCCAATCTCCCCCTCACTCCTTGGCCCTTACCCATCCATCCCTCCATAACTTTGAACCTGCCTCCCCCTCCTTTCTTACCACCACATAGCTCACATGAAACCGACCACCTGCTCCCTCGACCCGATCCCTACCCCTCTGCTTATCTACCAGCTCTTTGCCTCCTTGCCCCTCTACTCACAGACATCATAAACCTCTCCCTGTCTACTGGCACCTTTCCCTCCCCTTTAAAAATGGCCGTCATACTCCTATCCTAAAAAAACCTCCTTTGACCCATCCCTGCTCTCAAATTACCACCCCGTCTCCAACCTTGCTTTCCTTTCCAAGGTGCTGGAATGAGTCAATGCTTCCCAGCTACGCTCCTTCTTCTTCCGCCACTCCCTTCACCAACCCCTCCAATTGGGTTTCCGTACTGCCCACAGCACAGAAACAACTTTGGTCAAAGTAATCAATGACATTTTGTCCATTTGTGACTAGGGCTCCCTCTGCCTCGTCGTACTTGACCTCTCTGCTGCCTTTGATACCATTGACCACTCTATCCTCCTCCATCGCCTCTCCTCTCACATCAACCTTCATGGTTCTGACCTTGAATGGTTCAGATCCTGCCTCTCACACCGTCTCCACTTCATCTCCACGAATGGTTTCTCCTCTAGCCCCCACACCATCTTGTGCGGTGTTCCTCAGGGCTCTATCCTTGGTCCCCTCCTCTTCAATATCTAGATGCTCCCTCTTGGTGACATCATCCGCGGACAAGGGGTCAACTTTCACATGTATGCCAATGACACCCAACTCTATCTCTCTGCTTCCACCCTCGGACTCCAGGACCACTGCTGTCCTGACACCATGTCTGTCAGACATCAAGTCCTGGATAAAATGCAAAATACTGCAGATGGCGGAAATCTGAAACAAAAACAGAAGTCTCTGGGAACACTCAGCAGTTCAGGCAGCATCTATGGAGAAAGGAAAGTGAGTCAACGTTTCGGGTCCACGACCCTTTGTCAGAAATGGGGCATGTTGGGAGGGAGAGGCTTTTAAGGGCTAATAGAGAGTGGGGAGGCAGGCAAGGAGACAAAGGAGAAAATGGGGTAGAGAACAGGGGATGATGGGTTAAAGAGGCATTAATGATGCAAAACAAATGAGGGGGATTGCAACAAAGCAGGGGAATAGAGGTGTTAATACTGCAAAACAAAGAGGGGAAAAATTGCAGCAAAATAGGTCTTGTGTCATTACAGTAGTAAACGTGGTGTGGCTGGAGGCAATGGAGCTTCTTTTGCTGTTATTGCTGTTCCTCAAATACTGCACTACAGGAACTTCAGACACAGCAGGGATGGAGCATGCTCAGCACAGCGCTTTGCAATCTGACCTCTCCAGCAGCTGTAAAGAGCACTACGTAAAATGTGTATGACCACTCCATGAGTTACAGCAATGCCCCAGTTCTGACAAAGGGTCGTGGATCCGAAACGTTGACTCACTTTCCTTTCTCCATAGATGCTGCCTGACCTGCTGAGTGTTACCATCAAATCCTGGATGAGAGCTAACTTTCTACAGTTTGAACGTCAACAAGACCGAGGCTCTCCTGATTGGCTCCCGTCAGCACCTCCACACCTCAGGCGCTGGCAGCATCACCATCCAAGGATGCACACTTCACCTCACTAAGCCAGTCCAGAACCTTGGCATTTTGTTTGACCCTCAACTATCCTTTCTACCCCACATCCATGGCATGACATGCTCTGCCTTCCCCTGCCTCTGCAACATTGCCTGGCTCCACCACTGTCTCACACCGCAGGCCGCTGAAACCCTCATACATCCATAACATCCAGGCTTGACTATGCAAACTCCCTGCTTGTCGGCCTCCCTAACTCCTCCCTCCATAAACTGCAGATCATCCAGAACTCTGCAGCTCGTGTCGTCTCCTGCACCAGGCTCCTTGACTCTATCACCCCCATTCACACTTGACTCCACTGGCTTCCCATCACACAGATACAGTTCAAGATCCTGGTTCTCACCTTCAAAGTCCTCCATGGCTTTGCTCCCCCCTCCCTCTATGACATCCTAACCCCCTACCATCCTGCCTGCTTCCTCCGCTCAGCGGACCCTGGCCTGCTTCACGTCCCGTGCCTCACCCACCCCACCATTCACGGGTGGGCCTTCAGCCCCAATCTGCCCCTACCCTCTGAAACTCCATCCCGCTGTCTCTCCGTCTTGCCCCCTCCCTTGCCTCCTTCAAGACCTGTCTCAAGATGCTCCTCTTCATACCTTCGATCACCCTCCCTCCCATCCTGCCCTCTACCCTCCCCAATCCCAACCCCCAACTCGGGTCTGAAACATTGATTATACAGCACCTTGGGATGTCCTCCCGATGTGAAATACACTATACAAATGTAATTTTGTTGTTGTTGTGATCCATTTACCTGGAGATATCTCTCAATCTTGTGATGCCTCCCTATCCACACCCCTGTCCCATTGATCTTAGACTTTTAGGTTTGCGTATCTCAGGGCACTAGTCCAAGGGCTTGTGTTCTTCACAGGAATACTGGGAAAAAATCAATGGATAATGTATTCCACATCATTCTCTCATACCTCCTGCTAGCTGAGTCCAGCACATGCAAGTCACCTTCCCATCCTGACCAGGAAGGGTACCAAGCACAGGAAGAACCAGAAGTGGGAGAGCGAATAAAATATAAGACCATTTTATTAGTAGGTACTCCACTTAAGTGCTAATTGTATTTTTTTAAAAAGGCAACATTTCCCTTTATGACTTTCGATGGGCAATATCTAAGAGTAATTTTCTGCTAAGTATGTAATTGGCAGTCTACCCTCCAAGCTCACATTCTGAATAATAACCTCTTCGTTCATCAACCCTCAGCTGAACTTTAAATATTTTACTTGAAGTAGTGTCAGTTATTACAGTGCTGGAAAAAAGTTTTCGCCTTACCCCTTTATCTTCAAATCCCATCTTAAACCTATCGCTTGATTGTCCCTGTGATCACCTCCCCCTCTGCTTGTTTGCTCAAGTCTAACCCAACCACTGGGAAGCGCTATCCTAGATGAGGGGTGCTATATCATTGCAAGTTGTCTGCAATGCAGCTTGTGTTCCTGGTTATACATTTCAGTTAAGCATATAAAAATTGTGAAATCCATTAATAGTAGCAGAGGGATATTGGACAAAATTTATGGAGTTCCATTAAAGTTTTTTTTTCTGATATAGAGTAAAACATAACATATGAGTTAAGAAATCCTGTAAATTGTGCTCTATTGTACTCACACACAGATTGTATATATAACAGCTTGATAAGTTCAATTTGACACATTGACGTAAGTGCCTTTCTTCAGTTCTACAGAAGATTACTTTCAGGTATGCCAACGCATTAGCACAGTTCAGGATTGCTATCCTGCCTTTCAACTCTACCCTCTACAAGGTCAAGCTTATTCAGAACTCCGCATTCTCTCCTGCACACAGTCCATCAGCTCATAACCACTATCCTCATCAGACTCCACTGACTTCCCCTTCCCCGCTCTTTAAGACCCTCATTCTTACCTTCAAATGCCTCCACACTTGCCCACTGCTTCCTCCACCATCATGTCCCCCATCCACCTTCCACCTCACCAGCCATTTTACCTTTGCTTTCTGGAGCTTTCTCCCTAAATCCCTCTGCGATCCCCCCAACCCATTCTACTTTCAAAACCAGTCTAAAAACCTAACTCTTTGACTGTGCCTTTGGCCACTTCCCACCTTTACTCACCTAATCTCCTGTCCTATGGGGACTTCCACTCTGTTACTGTAAAGCACCTCAAGATGCTTTCCTAGGTAAAAGGCACCATATATAAGTGCAAGTTGTCTTTTATTAACTGAACTGGGCCGACACACACACACAGGTTTATTCAATGTCCTAAATAATGATATCGACTGCACTGCAGAATTGACCCCAACATGAACACTGAGGTAAAAACATCCAACTATGTGTACAGTAGATAATTTTATATCACAAGAGTAGCAGGGAAATTAGACTGTCAAGGCAGTTCTGAAACTCAAACGTGGCTGTGACCATCCAAGTGAGAAGGCAGGACAGTTACTGATAAACTTCCAGGCTAATAAACTGTAGCCACTTCTTTGTGAGGCAGAACAGTGATTCTAAAAACAAAATATGCATTGGCTGGATGAAGGTAGTGTATAGCAAGCTCATAGCAGGGCAACAGATGCCCAAATTAACACCTTGCCTGGTCCATGTTATCATGTCACACACATTGTGCTGACGAGAGATGTTAAACAGCAACGTTTAAAAATAGATCTCAGATAAAACTGGTGACAAAACGATTATTTTTAGTGGACTTGTCGCGCATTTCAAGCATTAGCGTCATAAACCAGATCACACCAGCCTGCTGCACACAACATTGTGTTTCTTTCTCTGAGGCAAGTTGCCATGAATAAACCATCCATGTTTATAGGCCTTGTGTCATTACAGTAGTAAACGTGGTGTGGCTGGAGGCAATGGAGCTTCTTTTGCTGTTATCGCTGTTCCTCAAATACTGCACTACAGGAACTTCAGACACAGCAGGGATGGAGCATGCTCAGCACAGCGCTTTGCAATCTGACCTCTCCAGCAGCTGTAAAGAGCACATCGTAAAATGTGTGTGACCACTCCATGAGTTACAGCAATGACCAGGTCAAAATTCAATATTATTTTGCTATAAGTTACTCTGTGAACTGAAGGCTATGTAGGAAAGGTCTCACTAATGCAGCAAGCGCTACCCCTCTGAAGTTTTGGTCAAGGCTTGTTGTAATAATAATCCAGGCCTTTGATATGGCATCCATAATTTCAAAATGTCCAAAATTGTTGTAAAGTATTACAATTGTGTATTTGTAGGGCAACCCAGTAGGCAATTTGCCCACATCAATATCCCAAAAAGTCACAAAGTGAATGATCAATTTTATCTGGAGGATTATTGGACAGGACTCTGGGGTAAACTCGTTTCTCTTTTTGAATAATGGCATGGGATCTTTAATGTTTAACTGAATAGGTTTTAACATCTCAACCATACGATGCCAACTCTGACAATGCAGTGCTTCCCCAGCAGTGGAGTATTATACTAGATTATGAGCTTAAAGTCCCCATGTGGAGCTTGAATCCATAACCCTCTGATCCAGAAGTAAGTGTACAACCAACTGAGTAGGGCTGACACATCGTTATGACAAAAGATGATCAAGACCTTTCAATCTTCTGACAATCCTTCCAGAATATTACTCCAGTGCACTACAGGGCATCCGTTGTATTGTTGGAGGAGGTGTTGGGGTCCTGTCTGCCTATTCAGGGTGGATGTTAAAGATCCAATGGCATTATTTGAAAAAAATGGGAATTTCTCCCAAAGTCTTGGCCACCAATCCTGTCCTGATAAAAATTGATCAATCACCTCATGGCTGTCTGTGGGGCTTTGCTGTGCACAAATGGGCTGCTGCATTTGACCACAAATCACACAATCACTGCACTTTGCAGTATATCCTGTAAAGTTCTTTGAGACCTGATGTGAAAGGCGCTGTATGAAATGCAAAGATTATTATTATGTCAGTTCATCAACACTCTGTGGTCCTATTTGGTGATTTTTGTGATTAATCAATGCATGATAATTTCAAAGAAACTGTATTGAAGCAGTTACTGTGCCCGACAGTGTGAAGAAAGTGAATCATCAGCACATTGAATCTTCAATCCTGCAAGCTCCAGTTACAACCATTGTTTCAACTGTGAGTATCAAGATCCCTGACATTGAAACGTACTTTGTACATTCAGCAAACCATTTGACTGGTCATATGTTCATAGTTTTTTTTAAAGTGAGTGTAGAGAAATAAAACAAAAGGTGTTAAAAGTTGATCATAACTCTTTTTTGCACTTTTCTTTTTTAGATGACTGAGGGTAATATTTCCCTCATTGAATATAATAATAACATCCTTGCATTTGATATAGCACCTTATCATGTCTTCAAGACATCTCAAAGTGCTTCACAGAATATACTGTAAAGTGAATTGACTGCATATTTTGTGGGCGAAACGCAGCAGCCAATTGCGCACAACAGTGTCCCACAAACAATCGTGGATTGAGTGACCAACTTATTATTATTATTTTTTTTTGGAAGGAATTATTATTCCCAGAAAAGCAATCCACCAATCGACTAACACCTGGTTTCCTACTTACAGCTAGCTAAACAGAGCAATGTGCAGAAATATGCTCTGTCTTGTCTAAGGAAGTCACAATGTAGATTCGGTGGTATAAGTCCTTGCTGCTGTTTCTCACCACTCCACCACAGCTTTGAGACAATGTTTTGGGTTGTAACAATAGTACGTGTCTCACTTAATTGTTACCTGATAGACTCCTGTTTATACAAATCAATGATGTTTTCGACCAGCAAGTTTCTTTGTAATCCATAGACTCCATGTCTGTCCAGAATCACCTCATGTCGACAGGACGGACATCGGAAACGACCCCCTGACCCCAGCATGCTCCCTCCACGTGTCTGCCAATATGGGTTGGATGCCTGGTGAAAATTCAAAACAAAATCATTCATTTAAAATGGAAACAGAAATTGCTGGGAACACTCAGCAGGTCAGGCAGCATCTACGGAGAGAGGAAAGTTTCAGGTCGATGAGCTTTCGTTAGAACAATCAAACTTCTGTTTTTATTTCAGATTTCCAGCATCTTCAGTATTTTGACATTCATTTAAAATGTGTCTTAACAATTTCTTTAACGCTGCCATTTTTCTATGATTTCTACATCACTCAAATTTATACTTTGCTTCACAGAGCTCTACCCAACACTATGCTTGCTTAGACTAGAATCATATAATTATCCAGCACAGAAGAAGACCATTCCTCAATGACTGACTGTCAGACATCAAGTCCTGGATGAGAGCAAATTTCCTCCAGTTGAATGTCTACAAGATCGAGGCCATCCTAATTGGCTCCTGTTGGCGCCTCCATACCTTGGATGCTGACAGCATCACCCTTCATGGATGCACTCTACACCTCACGGAGTCAATACAAAACCTTGGCGTCCTGTTCGACCCTCAACTGTGTTTCATCCGCCACATCAGTGCCATGACCTGCTCCACCTTTCCTCACCTCCGCAATATTGCCCGGCTCCACCATTGGTGGAGTCCTGTAGCTCAGTGGTTAGAGCACTCGCTTTGCAAGTGAGAGACCTGAGTTCAATTCCAGGCAGGGCGAAACCTTGGGCAAGTTTCCTTACTCCACATGCCTAACAATAATCCCTCCAAAAAAACAAAAACAATAATTAAATTGGTCATTTTCAATCTACGACTGTTTGTGGGACATTGCTGTGCGCAATTGGCTGCCGCGTTCGCCCACAAATATACAGTCAATTCACTTTACAGTGTGTTCTGTGAAGCGCTTTGGGACGTCCTCCCGACGTGAAAAGCGCTATATCAAATGCAAGGATTATTATTATTATTATTATTATTGTCTCACTGCAGGCCGCCAAGAACCTCATCCGTGCATTCATCACATCCAGGCTCAACTACTCAAACTCCCTGCTTGTCGGCCTCCCCTTCTCCGTCCACAGGCTGCAGATCACCCAGAACTATGCAGCTCATGTCCTCTCCTGCACCAGACTCCACGACCCTATCACCCCCATCCTCGCCTGGCTCCACTGCCTCCCCATCACTCAGAGGATACAGTCAAGATCCTGGTCCTCACCTTCAAAGCCCTCCATGGCTTTGCTCCTCCCTACCTCTCAATCTCCTAAACCCCTATCGACCTAGGTGTCCCCTCCCTCCGCTTAAAGGGCTCTGGCCTGCTTCACGTCCCCAGCCTTGCCCACTCCTCCATTGGCAGGCGGGCCTTCAGCCGCTCTGCTCCCACCCTCTGAAACTCCATCCCCCAGTCCCTCCACTTCGCCCCCTCCCTTGCCTCTTCAAGATCCGTCTCAAGACTCGTCTATTCAACCGTGCCTTTGGGCACCCTCCTACCAGTTTGGTTGCGGATCCCTGACTGTCCAACACTGTGGGATGTCCTCCTGACATGAAAAGAGTTTTACAAGTGTAATTTGTTGTTGTTTTTGCCCACCTGTCTGTTAAAATTGTTTGCAGTAGAACATTTACTTTTAACCTGATTGCCTCCTAGTGATGTAGACAACTAAGCAAGAGGGAAGAGGGAGGGGGTGGGGTAGTGACTGTAGGCGCAATCGAAAAGGTAAGTCTTTAGGTGTGTTTGAAGGATGGATGGGAAGTGCAGAGGGACTTTGGGATGGAGTTTCTGAGAGCGGGGGCAGAATGGCCAAAAGCTTACCCACTGATTCTGGGGGCGGATCAAGCTGGGGACCTGAAGCTGGCTGGTGCTTGCTGAGCCCGTGGAGGGATTTGAAAGTGAGAATTGATGATGGAGGAAAGTTGGGGGCGGGAGACAAACTAACACAGAGAGAGAGAAAAAAATCACACTGGAAGAACATTGCTAAACAAGTTATATTATTTTATTATAACGAAGAGATAAAACTGTCTCTTACATTCCTCTAGCCCCCACCCCCTCCACCCCCCACCCCCAAAAAGCTTCTCTTTTTTTCCCTGCCAGTGAACACTTACTTTGGCTGGTGCTGCTGAGTTCTGCAATCTGACCAGGGTCAGGCAGAGTGACAACACAGAGTGTGCTGCCATCTGTCCCCCTCACCAGATCTGTTCGCGAATGGTAGGGGGTTTGGATGGGGGACTCTGGTGACAGGGATCACGAATGCACAGCTGAAGCTCTCTAAACTGCCGTAAATTTAAGAAATCCTGGCCCTGTGCAGGCCTGGGAGGGAACTCTACTATTTTCAAGGCCTTTTTTAAAAAATTCTATTATGTTATGATAGTTGGAGAGTCCTCACACTGTCACCAACAACCGCATCTTTATAGAATCTGAGCGTCAGGTAAAATACAAGAGAACTTGTACTTCAAGTGTACTTTAATTTAAAGCAGTTGAATGTTATATGAATGAAATAATAAACACAGTGAAAAAGACAAATCCTCTTGTCAGGTGCATTTAAGGCTACGGACCCAATATCAAGGATGCAGTCTGCAGCTTTAAGGTCAGTCAGGGCACATAGTACATTGCAATACATGACACGCTTCCCATTTACATTAGCAAATGGTTGATGAGATAACCCTCACCCATACAATTTACACACACACACATTCCTCCACTCTCACTCCCAGAGAAAGTTTTCTTGAACTGTGGCTGAATATTTCCCACCAGAATCCTAACAGTGTTAAACAGGGAAAGAAATGGAGAAAAAGATTTAACTTGTTATTAAATGTGGACTGATTTACTTCCTTCCCCCCACCCCATTGCCTTTGGTAAGATAAACATTATCTTATCCAAGTATTTTTCTCATGTGTTTTTCTCTTCTCCACATTGTAATCGAGGTGCATACGTTTTCACTGATTTATTTATCTATCAGACTCCAATTCAGGCAATAACATCTCGCCTCAGCAATTGTTAACTTACCTGAAACATGTCGTTGGCACACTTCCTGCACAGGTTGTGCTGGCAGGGCAGAATGACAACTGGTTTGGAGAACATTTCTAAACAGATTGGGCAAATGAGCTGCTTTTCCAGGTTGTCCATGGTTTGGCGATCCTTAGGGAGAAGGTTGTAATCCATGGAAGCGGTCATGTCAGCAAGTTCCCTGGGGGAGTACTAAGTTGTAAAATAACTTTTTCAGAAATGGAAGCCCGTCCACACTTCTTTTCCTTTTTTTCTCTCGGATTGTAGCTGTGACCTGATTGTCTACAGCTCCGCTTGATGTTGCTGGATGGGTGACATTGTCTTGGAGTGGATTGGTGGTTTTGATGGGGTTTTTTTTAGCAGCAGGACGTCAGTCGTTGCCATGTGGTTGCGCATCGCTGTGGCCTTATATGAAACTGACACCGAGATTGACTACTAGAGCTGCTGTCTCTCACCCTCTCCCTCTCTCTCCCTCCAAACTTAACTCCTGTCAGCACTCACTGCCCCAAACAGCTGTTTCTCTGGACAGTGACTTTCAGAAAGAAATGTTGTAAACCCTACTTCTACCAAACAACATCAAATGAAGCAGCTTTTGCCAAATTTGTAGTCATTGGAGAATAGTTATCTGATATGTAAATTGTGTTTTATTAATGTGTCTCAGGATACTGTCAGTGATTGTTGATAATCCTGACAGGACTCACTCCGGGAGTCCAGCCAAAGTTTTAAATAGCAGATAGACACTATACAAAGCTTTTTGAAATCTGTGACACTAATGAAGCGGATTACACTACCGGTTACTGTAAGGAAATCAGGAACATACAAAAATGTACTTATTACTCCTCTACATTATGTTCAGATTTTAAAAGTCTCAAAGGGATATTATAAACAATAAAGTTGCTTTTAAAAAAATGAAGAGTTTGCCTCCCTTTTTGGGGGGATTTGACCATGGTTACATACTGCGGTTTCTCTTTTTTAATACATCATTCACCAAGTGATAAAATGAATATCATTCAACTCATTGAGCCTGCTCTGCCTCTTTATAAAAGCTATTGGATTATGGGTCCCACACATTGCCTTTTTGCCACATCCTTTAGATTTTTCCTTTTCAAATATTGGCCTAATGCTATAGATCTATATAACTCTACAACGCAGAAGGTAACCATTCGGCCTATTGTGTCCATGCTGGCTCTTTTAAGAGCAATCCTTTCACTCCCACGTGTGAAACGATTTCTTCTAATCTCCCCATTTACTGGTTTTCTAACTACGGCAAACTCCTGATAACTTGTCGGACCGAGGGAAAAGGGCACAGGGATGAGTTAGGCATGTTTATAAATACATAAGTAAATGCAGCCGGGATGTTGACAAGTTAATGAGTTAAGTGGTAGTGACAAGTTAAGCCAGGGTCAAGTTATCAGGAGTTCACTGTATCTTAAATTTATGCTCTCTCGTCACCCACTCACCAATCGCATCCCTTTCACAATATGCTACTGTTGAAAATTATACTTCTCTTTTATTACCTTATAATTTCAAAGATGCTTTCTTAAAATTCTTATCATTTTACAAATGGGGTCTTGTGATGTATGGTGTAGTATTTAGATCTCTATCAAATAAATCTGCAAATCATCAAACTGGCAATCATGCACGTCCCTAAAGTTAACACCTGCCTCTTGCCATAATAGACTGCACTCTTGCAGGTTCTGCATACCATTTATTCAATACAATAATCAAGGTCATGTTAGACTCTGGAGAGAGTTCGCTCGCTACCAAGGATGATTGTGTGAGCTGAGAAAGGGCACAGCTCGAGTTTTAGAGGAGACACAATCTGCTTAGGAACCTGTATGTCGCCGTGTGCCAAAGTGTGCGTCAATCATACGAAGGATTTGGATGTACAGCTTCACAAACGTGTTAGTTTTTTTTTACAGAGAATGAATTGGAACTATTAACTAGTTTCGCCCACAAATATACAGTCAACTCACTTTACTGCATATTCTGTGAAGCGCTTTGAGGTGTCTAGAAGACGCGAAAAAGTGCTATATCAAATGCAAGTATTATAATTATTATAGCTGTTGACTCTAAACAGTTGGAAAGATTGGTTTCAACAGATGGGGGGGGGGGGGGCTTCAATGCAAACTTTGCAAGGGTTTTGGTGGTGGGTTCTGTTCTGGTGTGTGTATGAGTGCAGTGGTTGGTGTGAAATCCATTGCGGGCTTGCAGGGTGTGAAATGACATGGACATTTGCGGATCAGCATCGCCCTCTGGGAGCGCTGGCGTCCGGTCTGCTCTGGGGATCGCTCCGCAACGACGCGCGGCGTCCCAGCGGGCGAACCGACTCCCTTTTAAAACGGGTTGCGTGGGTTTTGCGGTCGCTGCAGCCTCGCCCGCTGATGTTGTGCAGAGAGAGAGAAAAAACTAAGAATGCAATAAAAGTGATGGACAACCCCCAACCCCCACCCCCCCCACACCACACACACACAAAACCACATAAAACTGCTGCTCAGGGTAACATTAACATCACAACGCCTGCAGAGAGCTCTGGTCTTGCCTGCTGACCCGAACAGCCTTTGCCACTGCTCTCAGTGTGTGTCTTTGTGGCGCGTGTGTGTGTGTGTGTGTGCGTGTGTGTGCGCGTTTGTGTTTGTGCAAAAGAAAGAACCTTTTCACGTTACTTGAACGGCCACCATTTAGTGTTTGCCACAGCAAAAAAAAACACACGCACACACAGAGAAAGGGAAAAAAAAAAGGGAGAGGGTATTTTTTTTTTTTTGCTTGGAGAATGCGGGCATCGATCCCGCTACCTCTCGCATGCTAAGCGAGCGCTCTACCATTTGAGCTAATTCCCCGGCGAAAGCCCCAGCCACGCAGGTCACTGTCCATCCAAATCGATATCGATTTATTATTGGTCTCGGTTCTGGTGTTCGGCTGCAGCCCCTTATTCTGCGCACACACACAAAAAAAATTTGTCACTCTTTATTTGGATCGGGATCTGCATTGACCCAAATGCACTGCACACACGACTTCTCCCACACACCACCCCCCCCACACACCCACCCCCTCCCACACACACCCACACACACACACACACCCGCCCCCTCTCACACACCCACCCCCTCCCACACACACACCCCCTCCCACACACACATACACACACACACCCGCCCCCTCTCACACACACGCACACACACCCTCCCACACGCACACACACCCCCCCCCTCCCACACACACACACACACCCGCCCCCTCCCACACACACACCCCCTCCCACACACCCCCGCCCCTCCCACACACACCCACCCCCTCCCACACACACACCCCCCTCCCACACACACATACACACACACACCCGCCCCCTCTCACACACACGCACACACACCCTCCCACACGCACACACACCCACCCCCTCCCACACACACACACACACCCGCCCCCTCCCACACACACACACACACACCCACACACACACACACACACCCGCCCCCTCTCACACACCCACCCCCTCCCACACACACCCGCCCCCTCCCACACACCCACCCCCTCCCACACACACCACCCCCTCCCACACACACCACCCCCCACACACACCACCCCACCCACACACACACACACACACCCGCCCCCTCCCACACACACACCCCCTCCCACACACCCCCCCCCTCCCACACACACCCACACACACACACACACACCCGCCCCCTCTCACACACCCACCCCCTCCCACACACACCCGCCCCCTCCACACACACCCACACACACACCCGCCCCCTCTCACACACACGCACACACCCACACACACTCCCACACCCCCCTCCCTCACACACACACCCCCACACATCCCCACACCCCCCACACACACACCCACACCCCCCACACACCACCCCCTCACACACACACACACACACACCCCCCCCTCCCACACACACATACACCCGCCCCCTCCCACACACACACACACCACCCCCCCCACACACACCACCCCCCACACACACACACACCACCCCCCCACACACACCCCCCCCCACCCCCCACACACACCACCCCCCCCACACACACACACCACCCCCCCACACACACCCGCCCCCCCCCCCCACACACACACACACCCGCCCCCCCCCACACACATACACCACCCCCCACACACACCACCCCCCACACACACCCGCCCCTCGCCCCCCCACACACACACACCACCCCCCACACACACCCGCCCCCCCCCCCACACACACACACACCACCCCCCACACACACCCGCCCCCTCCCCCCCCCCACACACACACCACCCCCCACACACACCCGACCCCCACACACACACACACACACCACCCCACTCACACACACACACACCCACACACACCACCCCCCACACATACCACCCCACACACACATACACCACCCCCCACACACATCCGCCCCCACCCCCCACACACACCCGCCCCCTCCCCCCCACACACACCCGCCCCCTCCCCCCCCCACACACACACCCCCCCCACCCCCCACACACACCACCCCACCCACACACACACACACCACCCCCCACACACACCCGCCCCCTCCCCCCCCACACACACCCCCCCCACCCCCCACACACACCACCCCACCCACACACACACACACCACCCCCCACACACACCCGCCCCTCCCCCCCCCACACACACACCCCCCACCCCCACACACACCACCCCACCCACACACACACACACCACCCCCCACACACAACCCCCCCCCCCCCCCCCCACACACACACACACCACCCCCCAAACACACCCGACCCCCCCCACACACACACACACACCACGCCCACCCCCACACACACACACACACCCGCCCCCTCCCACACACCCACACACACCACCACCCCCACCCCCACACACACACACACACCCGCCCCCTCCCACACACCCACACACACCACCACCCCCCCCCCACACACACACACGCATACAACCCCCCCACACACACTCCCACACCCCCCTCCCTCACACACACACACCCACACATCCCCACACCCCCCCACACACATACCCACCCCCCCACACACACACCCCCCACCCCCCACACACACCCACACCCCCCACACACACCCCCTCACACACAACCCATCCCCACATCTTCCACCAACCCCCCCCACACACGCATCCCCACACACACTCCCACACCCCCCTCCCTCACACACACACACACACACACCCACACACACACATCCCCACACCCCCCTCCCTCACACACACACACACCCCACACACACACCCTCACCCACAACCCCATCCCCACATCTTCCACCAACCCCCCCCCACACACGCATCCCCACACACACTCCCACACCCCCCTCCCTCAC